GATTTCGTCATTGCCGAATCACTGTGCTACAGGAACTCCTGGCAAGGCTGGTTTAGTTATTAATTTGTGCAGTCACTGAGGTGTGGGTGGCAGGCCCCAAAGGATAGTGTTTGAGCCTCACTTGTATTCTGAGAGAGCTTACCTTCTGTGCCGGGCTCTGTGTTTGACAGTGAATATGCAAAATATTTTCAGTGCTAAAAACCAGGTATTGTAGAATGTAAAACTGCAGTGTGGAGGAATGACTCTAGTTGAGATCCCAGTGCATAAATTTGGTCTCTTGTCAGCTGGATTGCTCTTTCTCAAGCTCAGGGGCATATAAAAGTTGACACTTTTATATAGACCTATGTGGAGTGTAGCTGAATTGCAGTTGCTTTTGGAGCTATAACTTTGAATTGCCTGACTTTTTGTTTTAAAAACAAAGGTGCGTCAACATAGATGTTGGCTTATTTGGAAAGCAGGGCAAAGGAAAGCACAGGAATGGAAAAGGATTTAGGAACAGTAAACAGCCTTCCTTGACTTCTCTGGTGGTCTCACGATGAAATCTTAACAAGTTGGTGCTGTCCCACAGCTTGTGGGCAGGTGTGGGCAAACGAATCCCCATCCCACAGACGTAGGACTCCCCCTTCTGCAGGATCCCAACAGATGATCTTTAAACTCTTACTTGTTCCACAAGTCTTATGGGAGGGGATAAGCTGATGTTGTATCAAGAAAAACTGTGCCTCTTTAACTTCGAAATAGGACATGTATTACCTGAGATTTTCCAAGTCAGACAACTACTTGGAAGTATATTAAATGGTTTAAAATGTAGATAGTAAAATCAATCACTCATTCCCAGTGAGGAGCATTATGCGTGCATCACAGTTTCAGAATTGTATCTGCCTATACCCCTAGACTTGACAGGTCTCTCCGGTGGTTGGTCTCAGAGTTGATAGAAGGGCCCGTGGTTGCATCGTGCAGCATTCCCGTCTGCCCTGCAAGACGTGCTCAACAGAGATGGAGTCACACTTGCTGGAGAAGGAGACCTAAGTTAACTTACTCGTGTTTCTTCTTCTCCCAATGATGTTTTATTGCGTTTTATGGAATGCCCACCAGAGAGTTGCTTGGTTCACTGTTCCTTAATCTTTTAGTTTAGTTGATCTCAAACTAAAGAGGTTGAAACCCTTAGAGTAGTGTTTCTCCTCTGGCACTATTGACATTTGGAGCTGGGTAATTTTTTGTTCTGGGGCTGTCTTGTATACTATCAGGTTTTTAACAGCATCCCTGGCCTCTATCCACTAGATGCCAGTAGCACCCCACCACCACCACAGTTGTGACAAACAAAAATGTCTCCAGGCCTCCCTTGGGAACACAGCTTCTTTAGGAGAAGGAAGGAATAGCTGTTGACATCTTTTTGGATGTTGAAACCCCCAAAGACCCTTGTCTGTGGGGCTGGGTTTTGAGTAAGTAGTTCCCAAAACATGGAAAAGGAGTCTTGATTTCTAGCCGGTTGACAAAAGGTAGAGCTTTTAAGCAGTTTAATTTCAGAAAGATGTCTTTGATTATTTTTGCTGAGATGAGGCATTAGAAGACTAGAAATAGCTGTTTTGGTTTCAGGGCTTTTTTAAATCAGCAAACCAGGAGAGGCTCCAGAAGGGTTCTGTAACTTTTTCAGGAAATGCATTTCTGAGCGGAGTCTATCCCTGACCATGTTTATGGTTCTTGTGAGACTGGACTCCTGGGGAGCCTTGCGAGTGCCTGCTCTGTCCTTTCTTCATTGAGTGGACAGCACTGAGGGTCCCGGCTGGGCCCTGTGTGCAGCAGATGGGAATAAGTGGGCAGGAGCACAGTTCCTGTCCTCAGGGCGCTCCCAGCCTCCTCTGGGCAGGTGGCTCAAGCACTTCAGTGTGAGGGGACGCTGGGAGTGCAGTAAACATGCATTAACATAAAACTGTCCGGAGTGGAATAATGGTCCTGGAGCCAGGGTTTTCAAGCTGTACTCTTAGCAGCTGATGTTACTTTTCCTTCAAACGAGATATGCAAAAACCCAATATAAATAAAAGAGGTCAGGCCCAAGTTTGAAGTCAGGGTGAAAGAAGGGGGCCTGGAATGCCCCTACCTCGTCACCTCACCTCACTTCCAAAGAGGAGGCACTTGGCCTTACACGTCTGACTGAAAGTAGGCTAATGCTTGGTTGGATAACAATCTTTGTTTTTCCTGACTGGATCTATCATCTTTTTTCTATTTGAGGTAAAAGTGATTTTCAAAACCATAAACCTGGATGAAGATACTGATGCTGTCCCATTGCTGTGTAATTTTTACTGTCAATCTCTGGAGGCGGATTTAGGGGCTGAGAAAGTACATACATACGTACATACATACACATGTACGGATACGCATACATATATTCATCAGAAGCATTTTGAATTTTATTATGAAAAACAAATACACAGAAAAATAGAGAAAAGAGAACTCTCATCCTCTAAATTTAACAGTCATTATTTTGTCATGTTTGTTTCACATGTTTCTTTAAACCTCTAATGGATAAGAGTTTAAAAGCAGAGCCACGGCAACAAGGTCTGGGAATATTTTTACCACATTCCCCCTTACCTCTATCCCCATCCTCTATCCCAGTTCATCTGTGGACAAAGGTAATTTAAATTGAATTTGTGAAACTTACATGAGGGATACAAATTTGATTCAACATGCATATATTCCTGTATCTATTTAGTTTATTATTCATTCAACAACAATTTTGGGATGCCTCGACCTCAGCATACAATGATGAGCTAAACAAAACAGACCAAACATAGCTCCTGCCCTGGTTTTGTTAGAAAATGGAAGTTTTTAAGTTGCTTGTCCGGAAAACTGAGGAAAGTGAATTCTGTGTCATGCCTGCAAGGAGTGTAGCCTGCACGGAGGAAAAGATGGTGGGATGAGGATGAATTTGGGGGTTTGGGGAACAATCCCGCCCGTAGCGTGCTGATCTGATTCTTGGGTTGGCGAAGGGCTTTGTGCATGACGCCCCTGCAGACTTGGTGTCTGTGGAGCCTCGGGAGCTGGTACAGGCTGTGTTATGTGCGTGGCTCAGAAATCACGGCTCTGGCGTCGCATGGGGACTGGCTGGCAGGGGACAGTGCTACAGTATGGGCAAACCTGTTAGACTGGCTGGTTATTCACAACCTGCCTTGTAGGGGGGAGTGGAGCCAGCGATTAGAGTTATTTGTTTTCTAATAGTTATTACTCTGCCAGTTTTACAAAACATCACATAAAAGGACCCAGGAATCTTACATGAGAAAAATAGCGCATTGGAGGCACCAGAAATTTACCTGATACCTTGCTCAGTTCCTGCCACACTTGCCCTTCCATCGTAGGTTTTAAGCTCTCTCCTCATTTGTTCATCTGAAGAAAGACTGACTTGTTTGCACTTTTGATAGAAGTATAGTAGTTCCCCTTATCTGCGGGGCATAGGTCCCAAGACGCCCAGTGCATGCCTGAAACCGCAGATAGTACCCAATCCTATGGATACTACAGTTTTTCCTATACATACATACTTACGATAAAGTTTATGAGTTAGGCACAGTAAGAGATTTAACAACAATAACCAATAATAAAATAGGACAATTATAACAATATACTGTAATAAAAGTTATGTAAATCTTAGCAACCTCAGCATATGATTTTTTCTCTTTCCTTATTAAGTCGAGAACTTTCACTTATTCACTTAAGGGAAGCACTTTACAGTTTCTCTTTGACGTATCCTAATTGCCGGGGTCACTACTCTTGCACTTTGGGGCCATTATTAAGTGAAATAAGAGTGACTTGAACATAAGCACTGTGATACCGTGACAGCCGATCTGATAACCAAGAAGGCTGCTAAGTGACTGATGGGCGGGTAGCATGTGCAGCATGGAGGCCCTGGACAAAGGGATGATTCACGTCGTGGGCGGGAGGGGGAGGGACAGCGCGAGATTTCATCACACTACTCAGAGGAGCGTGCAATTTAAAGCTGGTGAATTGTTTATTTCTGGAATTTTCTATTTAATATTTTCGGACCGTGATTGACCGAGAGTAACGGAAACCGTGGAAAGCGAAACCGCGGAAAGTGAAACCGCAGATAAGGGGGGACTATTGTATGCTTTCTATCAGTAGTCCATTACTAATGGAACCATTTGGAATGTCCCCTGCGCTACATCCATTTCTATGTTAGCTATTTTTTGAAGTTAATGAAGAGCACTAGGAAAGAAATAATGTGACAGGGTAGTTAGAGGTTTTTATGCTCACTTGACTTAATCAAGGGCAAACCTTATAGGTTGGTTAATCAATAACCTTTTTTAAAGGTTGGTTAATCAATAAACTGCTTTTAAAGATTCTGTAGCAAATGTGTTTTCAGGACAGAAAATAAATTTCGGGAACCTTCAATTTAGGCTTAGAAATACAAGCAGGTGATTTCTCACTAAGTTTAATATTTGATAATGTTTTTAATGGGTCTTCCTAAGTAGACAACAGCCTGATTCACTTAATGGAATAAATGGAATATAATGAGTCCAAAGGAGCTACCAGGCCCCAGTTATATGTAGAAACACAGGGTTTATTTTCAAATGTGGATCATACTGAAGCAAGCAAATGTTCCTCTTGAATTCTGTGATTGCTTTCAAAATGAACTACATTCATGAATTAGCTTTATGGCCCCCCAAATATGTTTGTGCTGACAAAAACGGTAATACCCAGTTCCATAGAGTGTAATTAACCTGCTACTTGCATGGATGGGGATGGGGGTGTACAGAAGACTGCAAGTTGAATTTCCTGTCATTGAACATGCCCTGGGACGGGTGGCTGTGGCATTTCGATAGCATCTCTCTTCTCGGAATAAATTGCTTCTTACGAATTGGTAAAACTATTATAGGCTGGTAAATATTTTTTCAGTATGATTGCTTTTTAATTGAAGGGCAAGGCTGATGCATGCATTGGGGGAGGGGAATGTTTACAATGGTCTATACATGATGTTTTTCCTTCTTTGGCAGGAAATAACTACATGTTTACCAGATTACTACAAATGGACTCAGTACCTCTTTATTAAACTCTATGAAGCTGGACTGGCCTATCAAAAGGAGGTAAATTAAACTTAGATGCACTATAAAAATTTTGTAAATCCTCTCCATCTTCTTATAGAACACATTGTTGTTAAATAAGAAACAAACCCTGTGTGCACAGTAACAGTGAAAATGAACACTCCCTCACGTTCATGAAGTCACTCCCAACAGACCCAGAAAGCAGCGACTGTCTGGCTCAGTTTGTGCCTCCAGGACAGGGCTCGGGCCTCTTTCACCCTTGACTTCCAGCACGTAACACAGTGTCCGGTGGGTGTAATGACATCAAAGAGGGGCGGCGGGAGGAATGCAGGCTTCTCAAATCCTAGCTCGGCTACCTCTCTGTCAACTTAAATAGCAACTTTGTCTGTTATTTTACCCTCAAAATGAGTTTAGTTGGGAATAGCCAAAAGAATTGCAATTAGGGATGTACATGCTGTGGTGAACCATAGGCAAATCCAGAAAAGAAAGGAGGGGAGCTGCTTTTATAGAGAAAAAGGGGGAATAGGGAGAAGCTACTCTAAACAAAAATTCATTGGAGGAAACTAACAGTTTAAGGTGGCAACGGCTTCTCATTGGGTGGGCTGTTGCTGGGTGGGGAGAGAAATCTTCCTTTGGTTGCAAAGTAGGTTTACTTCCCATCAAAGATGCAAGCTAGGTCTCTTCCTGTTTCGAGTAATTGACAATGGATGAAAAGGCCTGAGAGCTCCCCCTACAGGCCTTTCCGACTCCAGTTTAGTTAAGATTTCTTTTATAAATTTCCACATCTCCCAGCTGGGTAACTTAACCCCCAGGAATCATGGTTTCTCATCTGCTAAGTGGGGTGGTAACATCCTCCCTGCAGGGAAGAGAGAGGTGATATTTAAAGAGCAACTGTCACAGTGCCCACACATAGTGGTCTCTCAAGAAATGGAGTGCTTGTTATGGCAGGAGCTCAGTCATAGTAGGTAAGCCTTAGATGGTGGGAGATGAGGAAGAGAGTATCATAGTGTGGTCTACACCTGCACTGTCCAGTACAGTACCACTGGCAACATGTGCTTGTTGATATTTAAATTTAAAGTAATTAAAATTAAATAATACTAAAAATTCAGGTTCTCAGTCACACTAGCCACATTCATGTGCTGGTAAGCTAGTACTGGACAGCACAGATACAGAACATTCCCATCATTACAGAATGTTGTACAGTACTGGTCTGGAAAATTCAGAGGTAACAAGTAGAAATCCATTGTACCTTTATGCTTGAGACGTTCTCCTTGACCAGAGGGATTTCACAACAAAGAATTACATTTACTTTTCTGTGGGCCACATCACACTGCTTGGTCTTGCAGTGAATAGTACTTACATGATCGTCGCATTTTAAGTTAAAAAATGTTTTGAATCAATACAGACACAAATGCAGAAGGCTCAATCTGGAATTTCAGAATAAAACCAAAATGTCTTAAACCTTGACAGCATAAAAATAGTATAGCTAACAAAAATTAGGTGGTGAAATTGGGGAAGAGGAGTAAAAGCAAGTGTGAGATGAACCTTTCATCTTTCATAACAAGGAGGCATAAATGAAGAATGTCACTCTTTTTTTTTTTTTTTTCAGTTAGAAAGGTAGCTATTAAAGCTAAAGTTAACAAAGATAGCAGAAACTAGGAGAGGGGCTTGGGGTGAGAGGAAAGCTGTATGACCGTGCTGAATATCTCATATTATGTGGCAGAGGGTCAGCAGAACTGTCTAAAGATAATGTACAAAAATTGAAGTATAATTTTATTACCTGAAGTTATACTGGTAAATACCAGAAGAACTAATGAACAGAACCTGCTAAAAGTGGAGAAGCGTTTTAATTACCATTTCAGATAATTATAAATATTCTTCTTTGATAGTGTACCAAAGTTCAACAAGCGGTGGTTTCTTAAAGGCAGGTGCGGTGTTGAATCTGCAACGTCAGTGAACTTTTTGTACTCTGTTACGTTAAAGTGTGTTGCTCTATCTTGCACTTTGAATGGGTTTTTCACCCATTGTCATGAAAATAATTTTGGCCTTGCAAGGGCCTCAGGGACCCCAGAGGATTATGGACCACACTTTGAGAACCACTGTACAAAGTCTGTAGCCCCCTCCCCTGCAGGTGAACCACAGGAAAGAGGAAAGAGTTCTTTGGAGAGTGTGAGCAGTTGTGTTGGATTATCCACTGTTACCTCGGCTGCTTGGTTACTGCTTATTGTTTGATGTGCATGGGGTATGAAATGATGGGACACGTTAATGTCATCGTGTAGACGTTTCTCACATGGAACCCTTATGTGTGCTGTGTAATAGTCCTTTATAGGACACTCTTTCTTTTGTATATATGTATTATATATTTAAGTTGAATTTTTGAGTGTATTGAATATTTACTGTAATAGTCCTCTATAGGACACTTGCTTTTCTGTCTCTACACTTGGGGTTTGTTCACGCTGCCTCAATTCTCCAGCACATTAAATCCAAATAGGAGACTTAACCTCATCACTTTTGCATTGGATCCCAAGTTGGTCATACGTAGCATCTTAGGAGCTGAGTGACTTATCTAAAGATGGAAGGGATTCCAGGGGAGGGTCCCATTGCACAAGCACAGCCATCCTGCTGACTCCAGATGTCCCTCCTCAGTTGTTTGTTTCCACATCAGTGCAGCACTCCTTCCCCGCAGCATGCATGCCCCTGGGGGGTATAGGCCAGTTTCCCCTCTGACTTTTCTTTCATGGGAACAACCTGTATTAGTTTACTGTTGCTGCTGCTGTAACAAATTGTCACCAACTTGGTCACTTAACAGAAATTTATTGTCTTATAGTTCTGGAGGGCAGAAGTCCTTGAAATGAGTCTCACTGGGGTAAAATCAAAATGTTGGCACAGCTGCTTTCCTTCTGGAGGCTCTTGAGGACAATCTGTTTCCTTGTCTTTTCTAGCTTCTGGGGCTGCCCGTATTCCTTGACTTTTGACCCACCTCCATCTTCAAAGCCAGAGCATAGCATCTTGAAATCTCTCTGACCTGCGCTTCCATCATCACATCTCCTTCTTTGACTCTTCTGCCTCCCCCTTTCTCATATAAGAACCTTTGGCATTACATTGGGCCCACCTGGATAATCCAGGTTAATCTCCCCATCTCAAAAGTCTTCACTTAATCATAGCTTCAAGACCCTTTTGCCATGTAGGTAACATATTCACTGGTTCTGGGTGATAGGGGCATCCAGGTTCCAAGTGACATAGGACGTGGACATCTTTGGGATATGATTGTTCTGCCTACCACAATCCTCTTCTCCCTACTTCATGGGTTTGTTATGAAGATTAACCAGGTGAATGCTTAGAATGGGGCCTGGCACAGAGCAGGTGCTCAATAAATGCTCACTGAGTATGCCTGCAGAGTTACCTCGAGTCATTATGGTATTTAGATTGGAAAAATAGAGTAAAAAAATCCTGTAGCTTCTTAGCTAATTCTAAGGCAGCCCGTACGTGGACCAGTATTAAGAAAGAATAATTTAGATTATTTTATGGATTTTTATTTTAAAAGATAGGGGTTTTTTTGTTAGTTGCTGACTTAAAATATTTTTAGTCTACTAATTTTTTTAAGTCACCATTAAAATATCATGATCTTAAGAAAAATTGTAAACAGAGTATAAAAATGGGCACTTGGTACATTGTTTGAAGATCAGAGTTAGCCTTAATCCAAGGCATTTTTTTCCAGGTGCATCTCCTTTTATTGAGTAGCTGTTTTCAAATTGGCTTTAAAACATAAAACATATTGATGTCAGTTAGCATTCTATTTCTAGGGTTTATTTCAAAATATAAATTTTTGAAATTAACTTTAGACAGTTCATTGACTTTAGAAAGACTACACATAACATTCTTTGTAAAGCATGTTTAACCAAAAATCACTTAGATTATTAGTACTTTTCCTCTCACAGCATTGTTATAACTTTTTATTTTTTAATTAAAAAAAGATAGCCTTGACCCTTAAATTCAGTTCTGCTACAAGCTGTATAAATGAACATTTAGGGAAAGTATTTTTAGCAGCATTACTAAACATAACTAAAGTGTTTAAGTCTTTTGTTTTAACAAGCACTGTCCATCAAAATGTTCATTTCACCCCTCTAGTTAAAAAAAAACAAAACATTATTCCATGGATGTAGTTGTTAGAAGAATGTTGCTGTATTATGCTTGGACATCCTAGAGAACTATGGAGAGCCACCCAGTCTGTGAGTTTGTCTTTGGCTGTCTCCATGATTTCAGTGGCAGTTGGTGATGGTGCTAATTAATTCATACACCTAAGCTAGGTTTGCAGTGTGGCCTTGTCTTCAGGTTGCATGCTGAAGGGAACACTGTGCACCAACAGGCAGCCTCTCCCACTCTGCCCCGTCATGGCTTTGGAAGGTGGTGGCAGTAACAAATAAACAGTAGCCTTGGGAACACTTTCCCCTCCCCGACTCAGTCCAAATTCAGGCCCATTCTGGATGGAATAGAGCAAGATTGATTTTGAGAGTTAGATCTTTTAATAAGACCTATGTGGTGTTCCTTAATTAAGCACTGTTTTGTCAAGAAAAAAGCTAGTAGACCTTGAGAAAATCAATACCCCAAAACATATACTTTACCAGCCTTCTGGAACCCTCCTGACAGTGTACTCAGAAAAGGTCTTTGGTGGTATAAAAGCAGAACTTGCGGAGAAAGAAGCAAGGAGAATGATGGAGAATAGCCAGGGGCCTGGGGACTGAGGAGTGGTGCATTGGTCAAGAGACAAAAGCATGCTAATAGAGCCTGTGATCTGGAAGGGACTGGCACCCCGTGTAGAGGTGAGGCCCAAGGAGGCAAGGAGAAGGAGGATCCACGGGAAGAGGAGGAGGAGATGAGAAAGAATGAGGTTTGGAACAGGAGGCACACTGGGACAGTGGATACCACAGCTGCTCTGTCACAGAGAGGAGAGCTAATAAACGTGAATTCAGGATGCTGTTGCCCTGAGAATCCCCAAAGCAACCCATAGTCACCCACACCTCCAGGGACCCAATGACCAAGAAGGGGGTAGGGAGGCAAAATTGATGGAGCACCCACCGTCACTGTGCAAAACTGACCCTTGTGAGTATGGCTGATTCGGTCTCATAATTGTGTTATGGTGTGCTTTCTAAAGGTTTCCCACAAATCACTCAAACACAAAAATATTAATCCTAGTGTTCACCCTTGATCAACTGGGGAAATCTCTTATTTGAAATGGCTCCTTCTGTGATGTTGCCAGATAACTTTTGTGAGAGAAGCAGTGGGCAAAATCTACTAGAGTTCAGTGTGTTTGCAGGTATTTTAATGATTTCAATATTAATTTAAGGTTGACTTCAAAACACAGATAAAGGCTTTATTTTACAAATAAGGCTAGTTAACTATAAAGGAGCACGATGTTGGCTTCAGTAGGTGATAGAGAACATAAATATCAGCCAGGGAAACAGCTATAGCCAGTGAAGTGCCAGAAACATATTCTATGTAGCAAGATTATGCTTGCTTAAAAATCAGGGCATCCGTCAAAGTAAATGTTCAAAATGTGAAAATCTGGGAATGCTGGATAGAAGACCCTGGCTTCGAAGGGAACTATATGATAGAGATGAGCTATATCTAAGACATGAGACCCAAGAAAAGGGATTTAGAATGCAACTCCAGGGCTTCAAGAGGCTGCATGTACTGTACCCCCTGGTCCCCATTTTGCCCACCCCTGGGTTAGCCACCTGTGGGAAGGCTGAGCCTGAACCCTGCGACTCTGTGGTTGAGGTGGATTGTGGTCCCGGGAAGAAACGAGAATGGGTTCTCACAGCTGATGCATCTTCGATTTGAGATGCTGTCTCCTTTGGTGTTTTTCCTCTTTCCCCAAGACTTTCTTTGGGGAAAAAATTGCTTTTGTGTTTTGCTTTTATTTGTCTTTCCTTCGACACCAGAGTTTTACTGTAACATGTAAACCTCTTAGGAGCACATCTCCCTCATTGCGTTTTGTAACCTAGAGCCTGAGAGATGCCAGACCGTCGGAAATGTTGATAAGGAAATAGAGTCCTGTTTGTTTTTGCAACCTGCAGTACCCTCTGCCATACCCTCTGAGCTTCGCAGTGGGCAGGAGGCAGAGGTGGGGGCAGAGAGGGCTTTTTTCCTCCCTTTCTTTTATATTTTATACAGTTTTAGTTGTGCATGGGTCTTGGGGGGGGGGGGGCGCGCTGCCTCTTGTATGAGCTATCCATGTTACTACACAATACTTCGCCCTTCCTTTTTGCTTTTTATTTTAAGTGGTACCCCTCCCCAGCCACTAATATGGGCAATGATAATAGATAAGTAAATCAGCCTTGGTTTATTAACCTAAAGTTTTTAGCTCTAAGATACTTCTGTGCTATATATTTGGTTTCTATATATTTATGGATTCAAAGCATTTGGGGCCTCTAGAATGGCGGGGGGGGGGGGAATCATTGAATGCATGTCTTTCCCACTCTGACTTCAGGCTTCACAGGCGTTCATTTTTCAGTGGATGTACGACTTTTTAGTTGTAACATCACAACCCACAGATGGGTTAGCCTCTCCTCCACTCTTACTTTTTATGTCAGTTTTAGATGTCTCTAGATCATTCAGGATCCCAAGAAGAAATAGAGGGCACACCCAAAAGGAGTCATTGAAGAAGATGTAATAAAGGGATTAGGCACAGAGTTTAGGGGAACCTACAAGGGATGGTTAAGCACCTGGCGCTGACAACAGAAGGCAGCCTTTGCCACCCCAGGCTGAAGGGGCAATGTCGGGGAGCAGTCACTAGAACTGGGAGAGCAGTAGCCGTAGCACTAGGAGAGGCCTGCCCACTGGGGGCGCTGGCCTTCGGTAGAGGCATGTGGCCACTGCCAGCCAAAGCCCAGCCGGCAGAAAGCCAAAGTGCCTCTCATTGGTTGAACCCAGCCAGAGGGCAAGGGTCCAAGTTAGTGCAGGCACAGAGGTCAGCTTCCGGGGGCACAAAACAGGGTGGAAAAAAGGATTTGGAGGGACACATGGACAATATTCATCACAATCTCTTATTAGAATTGATTATTAAAATTTTAAAAACTAATGTGTATTAAGTCAGGATTGTTTAGTGCCCGGACACATCTCTCTGTGCTCATTACCTTCTTTGTACTAAGTGGTACCTAAATGTCATAAAGGAGTGAATGCAGATGGCAAAGGTATTTATTTTACATGAAGACGGAAGTGAATAGAACTCCAAGGAGAGAGAAACTTTATAATGGTTAAGACTACAGTTTCTATCATTCAAACAGATCCACGGAGATAGGTCTCAGAATACTGGGGACAGATGTTGACGGGAAGAAGGCACAACAGAATTTCCTGGCATGCTGGGAATGCTCTACATCCTGGCGTGAGTGATGGTAGAAACTCACTGAGATCTATCCACATTACTCTGTGTATGTTACACCTTAATATAAACAGAAGTATTAAAAAATTGCAAAAAATTGTTTACGCTTCCTAGAGACCTGAGTTCCTATCCTGTCTCTGTCACTTACTGACTCTGTGACCTTAGGCAAGTTATTTAATCTCTCTGTTCCTCAGTTTCCTTCTCTGCAATATGGGGATAATGTTGTTGCCTCAAAAGGTTGTCATGGAGATTATAAGAGCCAACCTTAGTAAGGCACTTAGTGTAATATCTAGCACATGGTGATTAAATGTTAGCTCTTTATATTAAAATAAATATATTTGTTTCCCCTAAGATAACCCAGTTCTGCCAAATTCTAGGTACTATTTTTTCTTCTTTTCCTCTGTTGACTAAAATTTCCAATCCTGCAAGTTCATCCCTTCATACAAGAAGACACCAAACTTGAGTTAGACGTGTGCTTAAAGGCTTCCTTTCCAAGCCTGTTCTGATAAGATGAAAGCACAGAGGCAGCTGACATGTTCTCTTTTTACAGCTTTATAGTGGTTTCTTTGCCAAGCAGTAGTCCCAGGAAATGCCCTCCAGTCTCAGAGCAGAGATATTGTATTTGCAGACCCTCTCACGTGTAAGGAAACTTAAAGTGATCCTATCAAGTGTACTCACCAGATTGCATCATTTTGTTTCCTGAATTATAACAGGCCTTGGTTAACTGGGACCCAGTGGATCAGACAGTGCTTGCCAATGAGCAGGTGGATGAACATGGCTGTTCTTGGCGTTCTGGAGCAAAGGTGGAACAGAAGTACCTCAGACAATGGTTTATTAAGACAACTGCTTATGCAAAGGTGAGTGTCAGCCAGGTGGCTCCCCACTAATGCCATACTTGTTGGCAGGCAACACTGAGGCACTGAGGTCTTCCGAGTATTGGAGGGCCTCACTGTTGGGACTGCCCCTAGGAAGGGCTCTTGGTTCCATGGGCGTGCAGACAGGAAGCATATGAGCCTCAGCTCACTCACTTAGAGGGTGCTGGTTTTGCGTCTCTCAGTTGTAAGTCAAGAATGGCACCTGGAGGTCATTGTAAGCCGTTGTTTGCTGACCAATGCACTCCATCATTGTACTGCTGTAGAGGCCAAAAAACATTCATTTTTATCTGCAATTATATCAGTAATAAAGCTAGGGAAAAAAAGTATCTTCATCTCTATGGTTCTTATAAGACCTCCAGAAAGATAGAATGACGTTTCAGAGAGTCCAGAGAAGCCCATCTAAAAAGAATGAAGAGGTGGCAGTTCTCCGTGAGGGAAGGCCAGAGTGAAAATGAGCTAAGCCAGGAACCAAAGCTCTGGATTTTAACTCTTATTGTGTCCCTAATTAACAGTGTAAACTGGTGCCAGTCCCTGGGGCTGAGTTTCCTCATCAGTAAAAGGAGAGGGTGGGACCAAGTGGTCCTTAAGGTGCCTTCTGGCTCTTTAAGTGTTCCAGGATTCAAGGCAAAGCCAACCCTTGAAAGAAAGGGCTTGCTTATTAAATCACCAGCAGACTGAGCAAAATAACCCATTCTGGGTATGCCAGAAAAACTCTGTGCAACATATTCTTTGAGCTTGCCAAGTTTCAGGATATGGAATTGAGGGATCTCTCCCTGAAACTCCAGAGAGGAGTGATTAGAACAAATCAGGGACACTTCACATGGTAATTTGATCATCTCTGTATTCTTTAGCATAAGAATGGACAGAAAAAGGATCTGAAAAAGTAGAGGCATCATGAAGGGCTACTGACGTTGTTCCTTGGTAGTTTTTTCCTGTGATAGTCTCCATGAGAATGATAGTTGTACCCTTTCCTAGTAGCCCCTTGGTCGCTCTGTGAGAGGTAGGGGACTGGACTGAAATGACTGTGGGTCAGATCCAATAATGCACTTCTTATATGCAAAGAGAGCACAAAGTTATAAATAACTTCCCATCACTACAATTACATTTGCTGAATTAGAACTGCAGTACACAACTCACAATACCAGTGCCATATGGATATATGACCTCCAGTTTTCTCACTCAGAAGACAAATGAGGCTGTTTTCCCATTATTATTTATTCAGAATGTAGCAGAGAATAGCATATGGATTTGGAAAACTGCTCATTAGAACTTGTTAACACAGTGCCTTGCTCCTTTTAAGCACATAATAATGTTGAGAGACTGAGTGAGAAGAACAAAGCTGAGGATGTTGCTTTCTATAACACCCCAGGCAGTAGGAGCCCCTATCTGCTGACAGTTGGGGTCCACTGTATTACCGGGAGGGATACCAGGTCACCTGTCAGGGACCTGTCAGATGACTCTGTAATAGGCATTATTGGAAAGGCCACCTAATTAGCTATTTTGTTTTGACCTCTGCCTCTAGTTGGAAATGTAATAACCTAACTGAGGGGCATTATTCTTTAAATTGTCAGCTGTGAATTTTCAACTGTTCAGCAGAAATGGTTAGTTACCATGGTGACTTGCCTGGTTCTTGCTGAACTCCTGTGCAGATTTATTGAAAAAGCTATCTTTGGAGGTCAGCGTTTGGTTTGCCCTGAAAATCAGAAGAGGGAGTATCACAGGAATGGTAGAGAGAGGCAGAAATCTATGTTCACGGCAGGTCCTTGGCTGAGGACTGCCCATGCACAGATCAAGACTCCATAAGGCCTAATAGAAAATGATTGCTATGGGACTGAGAGCAGAACAGAGATACCAGGGTGCTGCCCCGTGCTAGGAGACCTTGGAGTTATGTTCCAGCCAAAGGTAGGTGGTTGAAACCCCCAAAAGGCCATATATTAGAAATATGGATGACACCCTAGGACTGAGCAGAAAATCAAAATAGATTCACCTTAATAAGAAATAAAAGCAAGCCTGACAGTTTCAAAAGGAACTTTCATAACAAAACTTAATGCCTTTAAAGGGGGACATCATAATCCAGACTCCCTACAAGGTTGAGTTCATCTGTAATGTCCAGCATATGATAAAAAATTACTAGACTTGCAAAGAAGCTGGAAATTGTGACCCATAATCAAGAAAAAAAAAAAAAGGCAGCCCAATAAAAATATATCCTGAGATGATCCAAATGTTGGAATTAGGAGATAAGCCAGAGGCATCTATTATATAAATGGCCTGGGACTTAAAGGAAAAGATGGTCTTAATGAATGAAACTGAGAGAGCCCAAGGGAGAGACTCAAGATAGGGCTAGAGAGGTGGTTGGGGGCCAGATCAGGCAAGGCCTTTTAGGTCTTAGGGAATTTGGGCTTTATCTTGGGGGCCATGGGAAACCGTTAAAGGATTCTAAGGCAAGGAATGACATGGTCAGATTTGTGTTTTTATAAATTTGCTGTGGGAAGGGCAAGTGTGGATGCAGAGACTATTGCAATAGTCCAGGCATGCATAACTTAGACTTAAGTGGGAGTAGTGGAGAGGAATGGGTAGGTTAGAAAAATATTCAGATGGTGAAGTCTGTAGAATTTGGTAATATATCGAATGAGGAGATGTATGAGATGGTGTCATAAAGAAAGACCTTGATTTGGACAGTAAATGAATAGTTCAGCTACCTACTGGGATAGGGAGTCCTGGAAGAGACATAGCCTGACCCTTTTGAGTTTGCAGTGGCCGTGAGACATTTGAGTAGAGATGTAAAATTATAGGTGCTTGGATAAATGGGTCCAGAACTTCAAAGATCAAGTGAGATAGGACATCTACTTTAAAGTCTGGTATGATAGAAATAGTCTTGAATTAGTGTAGAGGTCCTGCTATATTGATAAGGATGAGAAATTGAATCAATTATTAATGCTTTCAGCTGCAAGTAAGTGAAAACCCAAGTTATGATGGCTTAAACAAATGGGAGGTTACTTTTCCCACATAAGAAGTCCCAGTTGCTGGGACTGAACTGGGATAGGGCTCTGAGTTGGCATCTCAGTGGTTCTCTTGGCCTTTCCTTCCTGCTTGTCACCTCATGGTTGCTGCATGGCTGGTACAGCTCCAGATATCATCCTTCCGTTCATACAGAAAGAAGCAGAAGGAATAGTGCTAGTGACTGTTCCTTTTGTCTGGAAAAGCAAGAACTTTCCCAGAAACCCCAAGCAAAATTCCACTGCTGTTCTGTTAGCCCCAGTTGTGCCATGTGGCAACCTCTGGCTTCAAGGGAGGCTAGGAAAGCAAATTTGAGCTTTTCACCTTCCATAGTCAAGGTGGTTGGGGGAAGGGGGTGGGGAATGGGTGCTGGGATGGCCAGTGAGCTGTGCCACAGTTATCCTTAGAGCTTTGTGTTTGCGTCTGGCTTTGCAGCTCTGAGGGCTGCCTTTGGGAGGGACAGCTGGTGGTCTGCTCCGGAGCATGCCTGAGGAGGAGCCCTGCTTTCATTCACTTAACTTCCAAATTATAGAGACGATGCCTGATGTGAAAATCACAGGGAGGCCTGAAAAATGAAAGTCCTTTATCAAGGCTGTTTGTGACGTATTTGTTTTTTCTCCCCTCGCTCCTCACCCAGTTCCTAGGATTGTTTGCTTTGTGAAACATTAAAAGTGGTTTCAGCCCCTTGTTCTGTGAAAAAGAAAACCTGCAGTAGGAGGATCTGAGGAACATGAATCACTCTTGGCAGAGCCGTGTGGGAGTATCTTGTGGGCAGCACGGCGAGGTGAGGGCAAGGGGAGGGGCTGCACTGGGGACGTACGGACAGAACGCAAAAGGGATTCAGCGTCTGATGGAAGGAACGCCGCAGTTCCTGACGGCAGGTGACAACTGGAAGGAGAGACAGAGAGACAGCTTCCCGTTTGAACTTTTCTAATAGATTTGTGGTTTCGATTTCTGCGGCTGCCTCGTCGCAGCCCTCAGCCACAGGGGCACTCTGTCCCTGCTCTTCTTTGGCGTTAAGATGGTGCTCAGTCAACCCCTAGGCCAAAGTGGTGGTTGTATTTTCTAAGTTCTCAGGAGTTACCCGGCAACTGCTGGACTGTGAGCAAAGTCTGTGTTCACCTTCCGTTTCCTGCCTGCTTGCCCCTGATCTGATCAGTGCTCGGGCCTCTACTTACCCCATCTTATTTAACTCTCACCTTATCCTTTGAGGGTGGGTACTCTTGTTATTCCCATTTTACTGAAGAAGAAACTGAGGCTCACACTGGTAATAAGTAGCAGCACTAAGATTCAAATTCGAGTGCTTGAGCTCTTAACCAGTAGTCTGTACTGCTTCTCAGGTAGTCTGAATTCACTCATTCTTTCCCCAGATGTTATTGAGTGCCTGGCCAGACTGTGGGCTAGGTGCTAAGAATACAGATGAGAAAAGCTGAGGGCCCTGCTATTAAGGAGCTTGGAGGCTAGTGCAGGAGACAGTGGCAGACATGAGTGGTCACAGCCCAGTGGGATTGCAGTCATGCTGCAGGAGAGTGCAGGGGAGGTGAAGGGGAGGAGGCCCAGGTCTGCCCCATGGTCCCAGGAGGTATCACTGAGGAGGTGATGAAAGATAGGAAGCGCAGAATGTCATGCAGGAAACTTCACGCTTCATAAGTATTTCCAAGTAGAATTTCTGCTGATGAGAAGCAGCGGGGCAACAGTGAGCCCTTATGCAAGCCAGAGGCATGGGCGGTAACAAGCCCCCCATTGCCCTGCCTCGTTGTGCATCTCCTCCCCTGATTTCACCTCTGAGCTTACGGGTAAAGTAGAGGTGCCTTCACCAGAACACACTGGTCTTGTTTGAGCCTGCAAAGAGTGAAAATATGGGGTTGGAGAGGCGAGGTCAGGGACAGGAAGGGAGGTTTATGACAAGAGCTCTTTGGGGAGGTGGAAGAGGAGGCTGGAGCAGAAAGACAGCCACAGAGGAGCAGTGGTGCAAGGATCCAGTC